AACATGTTTAATCTGAGCTAATACCTTGACCTGGCAGCGTACTGTTTGGTCATATTAGCTGAGGTGGTGCTACAATTCCCACTGATTTGCCAGACTGAGGCCAAAATCAGGCAGTTTAAATTCCATCACAGTCCATGTTATTACTGTTTCCTTTCATCCAGTTCTGAGCCTGCAGAGGTGCTTTAAAAATGGGAAATGCTTTTTTAGAAACACTCAAGGAAATTTTGAACTGGGTACGTGGACCTGAAAGTCTGCCTGCCATCAGTAGTCAAAATATACTCCAGTTATCTGGAGAACACCCAAATTCTCAACATAAAATAATATGTATTTACTTGTGTAGGGCCTATCAGAATAACAAATAGTAAATAACGCTTTTTGTTGAGTTTTGTATCAAATGTTTAGTTTAGAGTATGACTGATTTCTTCTTGAAAAGTAATAAGGATTACTCCCTACAGGTGAGCCAAAGTTTTACGTCAGCAAAATATTTAAGCATATGCTTGTCAATCTATGTTCAGCACATCCTCTTAAATACCAGTTAGACACTACAAGTCCCCTTGGATAGACCATCTTCCAGATTGGTTTATGCTTCTGGAGGGTGTGAATGATAAAGAAGACCTACTAAAAGACCCCTCAGCTGATTGTCCTGATTCTATGCAAGGCAAGAAGCTCCTATGCTTGGTACATCCTCCCTCATCTGCAAATGTGCAGAACCCCCTCCAGCTTCCACTGAGCTCACTGACTGCTGCGATTAATTTTATCAGGAAGACGAGCCAGCCAGAAATATGGTCAGCTTGATGAAAATGCAATGCACATGTTAAAATAAAGTAGGATCACATCTGCATTTTGTCTGCATGCTAAACAATAATGTGATTTTTTTAGTGTTCTTTGGGAAAAAAAAAAATAGATAGTTTGACTATTCTTTCCAAAGGAAACTTGGCAGCAGTAAAAGCTAGATGCAAAATTTAATGTTTTAAAATTTTAGGCCACCAACATTGATATAATAGTCTAAAATGATGTTCTTGCTCTGGCAGAGTTCCATACTGACTGAATCTTTTTCTTATCCTTCAATTCCTGGTTGAAAAAAAAAAAAAAAGTCCCTGAAATCAAATATTGCAAGTGACAACCCAGAGCAAATTTCTGTATCCAAACTATAAATGCAGATTTTTAATGGGCATGCATACTTCCACTCTGCTACAATCACAAATGATGGAAACAATAAGGCCCTACAGACAGGCAGACCAACCAACCAACCAACATCCTAAGAATGCATGTCTCTCAAATACATTTAGATATTTGTCTTTATAAGGGAAGAAACTATTACTCTTGAGGGGCATAGCCTTATCATCAGGCATCTCTCTTGCATATCAAGACAGATGTAATTTTTGACTAAAGTTGTGACTTTTGTCTCTCATTCTCACTTGGCCTCTATGAGAGAATCTCGTTAATAGCAAGAATTTACTCACCACTGCAGAATAAATGAGAATTAGAACCATATACGTATGTGGATGTGTGAATATATAGTCACTAATCATAGTGATAGTGATGCAACCGTTATGTTCTAAATATAGATGGGAAAGCATGTGACCGTTTCAAAATATCTGTGAATACTTTTAAAAATATTATCTTGGTTTGGTTTGGTTTGGTTTGGTTGGTTGGGGTTTTTTGTATGTGAAATAAACCTTTCTGTGGATGCTGTCATTCTTGCTGTGTTAGTGTTAGTAGTTCAGCATGCTCACTAGTTGGATCATTTCTATGGTACATCATGTAACTGATGTGGAATGATGGATTTCAGAAATATACCTCAATTTCTGGAAAAAAAAAAAATCTGGAAGATACTGAGTGCAGCCTGTGGAGTAGATTATACCAATGCAATCATAATAAATAAAAAGAAAATACAGAAATCAATAGCACATTCACCTTTGGTTTTATGGGACTGTATTTTTGTTTGTTTGTTTCATTTGCTTGTTTGTTTGTTTGTTTAACTTAGCAGCCATGGCCTATTTTTAAGAGAACAGATGAGATATGAAGTAAAATAAATTGGATAGTCAACTCCATGTGCTCTAGATAATTTGAGAAGTCAGTAACACCTTCAGCTGTTTTCTTCTGGCTACTTTTTAAACAAACTTTACTATCTTAATCCAGCTCAACTCCAATGAGAACAAAAAATTTAGAAAGCATTTTCCCATTTCCATGCATTTTGGATGTAGACATTGTCTCGACTTTCCATTTCTTCATTCTTGACTACTCCACTTTCCCTGGCTTGCTTATACATAATGCAGGCCATGCAATGATCAGAGCACTTCAGCCCATGCTTAACTTCACTTGTACCTCTAATCCTAAGTGTGGGATTCACATGCTTAAAGTTAGGTCTGCTAGTAAATTATGTGGCTGAATGGAGACAGTGAACAATATGAACAACTCTTTTAAGAAGAAAGCTAATGTGCATCAAATGCAAAGCATCGTAGGGAGGCAAGTACACGATTTTCAGATACCCAAATTTTAGTAATTCAGGTTAAGGTTTCCATGGTGATGCTGTCTTCATCTACTTCCTTGTGAACTTGGGCCTCTGCTGAGTTCCACCCACATAAGTAAAGGATAGAACAGGGTCAAAAGTTTTCAGTATATTTCCAGGTAAATTACAACAGAAGACATGACACTATTCCACTTAACTCTAGCGTTTGGCATCTTAACGTGTCAAAGTATTAGTTTTTTCCTTTAATGTCCATTTCTTTTCCTTATTGTTCACTTCTCAAAGGAAAACCTTGATTTATGAGTATGAATTGGAAAAAAAGAACATATTTTATGCGAGGCATTCTTCAATACAGGCAACATGAGCTCAATGTAAGATCCAGTGAGCAGGAAGGCAGTTAATGCTATTACTGCAGCAGGACAGGTCTGAGGATTGTGCAAGTGAACCTTTCTCCAGCTGGTTTAATTTGGAAGTAGGTGCCCATGGCCCTAAGCACCCCTGAAAAGCAGTAGATATCTGGCCCCTTTCTTGTCCTGTCTCACATGCTAGTCAGACAAACACAACCTAACAGATAATTAGAACTGCTGGAGTGGTACAAATAAGGTGCCATAATGGTTACAATTAGACCAAAGTTCTCTCAAGGCAAAGTAAGTAAGCCTTTACACCATGTCACCCCGCTCTGCATACCACTGTGATTTCTCATTTCCTCTACTACATGAAGCATAAGCTGCTTGCTTCCACTTTACAGATTCTTTGTGGCCTCTCTCTGCCTACCCAACGTGCAGGTGTTTGCTTGCTTCCTAGTAGTTGATGCCTGCCTCTGCTGGCTCTGATTGTGGGCATCCTCCACCCACTTGTTACATTTTCAAACAAGTCCCTTCGGGTTCCCTTCTATGCCTCTGCACTCACATGTGGGGAGAATTTCCTATAAATATCTGCAGAATCATTTAATTGTCCTCTGTCTTACTCGTCTCTAAAACTCCATACCTATGAACAGCTTGAAATCGGCCAGACTGATGGTGTGTTAATACAACCACCTGTTATACCAATCAGTTTTGGTTTGTTGTTTATATTACCTTTCACCCTTTCATCCTACATCTGCCTCTTGCTTTGATGATAAGGCCCTTGGAGCCAACCTCTAATGTAATAGAATCTTAATCTATGGCTAGTACAAACTCTGGGGCAACAGAAACCTTAAAAATGAATTAGGCAGTTATGCAGGAAATGTGCAACGTCATGAAATGGTATCAGCTCTGATAGCATTGTCAGAAAATGCAATCCCTGCATAAAATACTGACCTCACTGGCTAGTCAAAACTCTTTGACTTTGGTGAAACCCAGGATATTGCCCTCTGTCATTAAATCTTCAGATAGACACAAGTTTTTGAGTAATCTTTTTTCTTCATCAGCAATGCTCAGAAACCTCCCTCTTTGAAGCAATTTAGATAATATTATTACCTTTTGGTCACTGTCTTATTTTATCTGGTCTTCCTTCTCATTTCGCACCTACTTGTTCTGCAGTGCAGAATTATGTGTGTGTTTATATACTGCCAAAAATATTTATGACTGTTGTCAATAATTAATAGTTATTGGCAGTAAGAATATTACATGAAACACTTTGTCAGAATGAATCTGTGAATTACAGGAGGTTAGACTTATGAATAACCAAGAGTGTTTTGTATTTGCATCTTATCTCAAGCAAAGCAAACAATCCTTTTAGAAATACTGCTGTACAATCCAAGCTGGCCAAAACCAGCTTCAGAGTTCAAAAATGCCCACTCATGTTTAGGCTAAATATTCAATATTTCCTACTCTTTGTTTCATAAATATAAATAACCATTTGGAGGAAACATCTTCCTAGAAACATGCATACTTCAAACTGAAAAAGAAGGAATGTTTTGGAGAAGTGAGAAACACCCTATGATACGAACGTGCTGCTTCTATTAACCCATTATTGGTGTTTGATTTTTTTGTTCATTTTACAAGAAGCTCAGGGTGCCCAGATCATGAAAACACATCTTTCTTTTTCCTTCCCATTCCCTCTTTCTCTTTGTACTCCAAAAGCTCAGAACTCGGCTGCCATACCCTTGACATTATTTCAAAACAGCTTTTGACAGTCTCATCATAAGGAACAGAGCTGTTCATTTTTTTAAAAGCAAAACTCACAGTCAATTTAAGGATCGTAAGCTACGGCCCGTGTGCCACTCGAGGCATCAGGCTTTCCCGGGTATGAAAACAGGTTCACAGAAAGTTCAATTGTTCACAGCAAAATCGAAAAATGAAAAGGAGCAAGAAAGAAGGGGTCTCCCCCCGCCGACACACACATCCCTCTCTCCTCCCCGTGCCTCCCCCCTCGCCCCGCGAGTATGCAGACTGTACCCCATGCACATCAGAAATGGACCCGGCGAGGCGCTCGGCGCAGCATGCACACGCGGAAGGGAAGGGAAGGGAGGGGAGGGGGATGCCTTCGCAAGGTCTGATCATCACCATAAAGAGTTAAAGAGAGAGTGAAATGGCTAACGTACACACACCCCGCTCCATACCGGAGAAGAGTCTCCCAGCTGAGGTTTATGCTCTGTGAGGACCAGGCTGAAACTGACCGCCCCCACGGCCACGCTGGACAACCCTAACCCTATCTCCAGCACGGAGAGCACCAGGAGGCTCCCGATGATCTGGCTGCTGGTGCACATCCTCCCTCGGTCATCCTTCCTTCCCGATCAGCCGGGGAAACCGCGCATCCGCCTTC